ATTGTGCCTTTTAAATTGATAAATTCTGTTGAAATCTTTTATTTATTTTTATTGATCAAAATAATCCAATTAAAAGAAATATGTTTAACATAAATTGAAAAGGCTATAAATCAAAACTCAATAACTAATCTATTTGCAGTCTATTTTAGTTAATTTCTAAATTAATAAACTCTTAGCCATTTTAAAAAGTAATTGATAAAGCAAGTTTATGATATTTTAATAATAATAACAAACAACATAAAATATTAAAAAAAAATAAAAAATATGAGAAATATCATTTTCTTAACTTTATCAGCTTTGTGCTTAAGTGCAGTTATTGCTTAAGATTCAAATCAAGAAATATTAATATCTAGAGGGCTAGTTGATTATACTGATGCAGATCTTCTAAGTATTTACTAATCTTATGGTTATGAGCCTGATCCAAACAGCGAAAGATTTTAGCTTTTTAAAAGTAGATTAGCTAAGATAATTGAACATAACTCTAATCCTGATAAAAAATACAGTTAAATTATCAACAAGCTTACTTTCTAAACTGATTTAGAATTAAAGAAATTTAGAGCTTCATAAAATTGCTCAGCTACTGCTTAAGCAAACACCCGTTCATTCAGAAAATATGACTTGAGTTAACTCCCTTAATATGTTGATTGGAGAGAGAAAGGAGTTGTAACTTAGGTTAAGAGTTAAGGTAAAGGTAAAGCTAATTTTAATATATTTTTATATTATAAATATACTAATATTTATGTAATAATATTAGATTGTGGTTCATGTTGGGCATTTGCAGCTGTTGCAGCTCTTGAATCTCATTATGCTTTAAAAACTGGTAAAAAGCCAATTTAATTTTCTGAGTAGCAACTTGTTGATTGTGCTAGAAAATTTGATACTAAAGGTTGTAGTGGTGGATTACCTTCCAAAGGTTTTGAATATTTAGCTTATGCTGGGGGAATTTAAAGTAATTTACTTTACTTTATTTTAGGAATTATTTATTAAATTTAAGATATTTAATAATTTTATATATTTAATATAATTATTTTAATATTTTAGATGAAGCTGATTATCCTTATGAAGGAGAGGATAAAAATTGCAGATTTAATAGCTCAAAGACTGTTGTTTAGGTCTAAAAATCCTATAATATAACATTTTAAGATGAGAATGAATTGATTTATCATTTAGCTAACTATGGTCCAGTTACTATAGCTTATTAAGTTAATAGTGATTTTGATAACTATAAAAATGGCGTCTTTACAAGTTCTAATTGCTCTAAAGATCCAGAAGATGTTAATCATGCTGTTCTTGCAGTTGGCTACAATATGACAGGTAAGTACTTCATTGCTAAAAATAGCTGGGGTAACGATTGGGGAATGAATGGCTACTTCTATATCGAACTTGGATCAAATATGTGTGGCTTAGCAGATTGTGCAAGCTATCCTATTATTGGTGAAGAAGTTAATAATAATGATAATGATGAAGCCGACAAACATGATTGATGAATGATTTAGAAGAAAATATAATTAATAAGCCAAAAACTTACTTAAACAAATAAAAAATAAAAATATAATTAATTGATGAATTAATAAATATATATGCTTTTTTATTTGTATGACTTTTAAATTTTTTGATTAATCCTTCAATTTATTTATAAACTTTGTATTGCTAATTCAGCGAAATTTCTATTTAATAATTATTAGATGTTTTATATTAAATTAAATTCTAAAGAGCCAAACGCCTAATTAAAATCTAATGGTTTGGGTATTAATGAGTTTAAAATTAAATAAAAATATATTTGAAATTGTTAGTTCTAAGCCATTTTTTTTAATTTATTTTTATTTATTATAAATTTTGGTGAATTATTCTGTAAAAAAATATTTTTTTTAAAAATTAATTGTTAGTTTTTAAATTTATTTTATTGTGTATTTATACAAATCAAGCATTTCGAAATATAATCTTATCAGTCTGATGATTTTGATTAATGATAATTTAAGAAAAAAGAATATTATTTTAAATAGATTTATAAAGCATCGATAAAAATAAATTATTTTTCAAATATTAAAACCAAAATAAATTAATTTATTTATGAATAAATTCCTTTTTAAAAATGGATTTTTACTTGCATTACCTGATTAAGTAACAAAATTTGATAAAATAAGAATTTTTTGATAATATTTAAGTTTACTAAATATAGAAAGGTTTATTTTCTATTTTGTTTTGAATAATCGAGTAGGAAGTTTATATTGATAAATAATATATTTTTAACATAAATAATGACTATTTTGTTTACGCGTTAATTATAGACTATAAAAATTAAAATTTATATGCTATGTTAATTCTAAATTATTGAATATAATATTTGTTGTAAGAAAATATTTTAATATTTTTATTAGGAGTTTCCTTTCAAATTCCTATTCTCTTGAAACTGAAAATTTATTTTCAATTATAATATAAATTAAGCATTCTGTTAAATCCTAATTATTATAAATTTAAAAAAAATGTAAATTTTATGTAAAATTTTAAGCGAAATTCTAATAGTTATTAAAAAGCTCTTCATTTTCACTTTTAAAATACATAGAATCAGTTCAGAATTAAGATATTCATTTTATTCATTAAATTTTATTTATTCTATGTTAGATTATTTAACTTTAAAAAAACAAATATTCATCAATTTTTTAAATTCAGTGAAAATTAATGTTATAGACTTTGTAAGATATTCCTAATTATTAAAAAGATATATTTCAATATTATTTTTTTAAAAAAATTATTGTAATTTTAAATTAAATTAGCAAATTCTGACGAAATCTTTTATTTATTTTTATTGATCAAAATAATCCAATTAAAAAGATATGTTTAACATAAATTGAAAAGGCTATAAATCAAAACTCAATAATTAATCTATTTGCAGTCTATTTTAATTTATTTCTAAATTAATAAACTCTTAGCCATTTTAAAAAGTAATCGATAAAGCAAGTTTATGATATATTAATAATAATAAAAAACAACATAAAATATTAAAAAAAATAAAAAATATGAGAAATATCATTTTCTTAACTTTATCAGCTTTGTGCTTAAGTGCAGTTATTGCTTAAGATTCAAATCAAGAAATTTTAATATCTAGAGGGCTAGTTGATTATACTGATGCAGATCTTCTAAGTATTTACTAATCTTATGGATACGAGCCTGATCCAAGTAGCGAAAGGTTTTAGCTTTTTAAAAGTAGATTAGCTAAGATAATTGAACACAACTCTAATCCTGATAAAAAATACAGTTAAAAAATCAACAAACTTACTTTCTAGACTGGTTCAGAACTAAAGAAGTTTAGAGCTTCATAAAATTGCTCAGCTACTGCTTAGGCAAACACCCGTTCATTCAGAAAATATGACTTGAGTTAACTCCCTTAATATGTTGATTGGAGAGAGAAAGGAGTTGTAACTTAGGTTAAAAATTAAGGTGAAGGTAAAACTAATTTTAATATATTTTTATATTATATTATAAATGTACTAATATTTATGTAATAATATTAGATTGTGGTTCATGTTGGGCA